CGAACTCGAGATTAATTGAGACCTTGGTCCACCGACGTTACGTGGCGTTATCTGGAAATTCCACTCGCTTGAGAACCCGCTCGAGCTCCCGATTAATTAATTCTGCGCACGAATCGCACGCAGATCGAACTTGAAAGGATGCGTTAAGCTGCATCCTCGCTGAAGCAAGGAATTTTTTTTTTTTGATCGAACATCATCTTTGAACGTGCTTGTCTTTTGCCTTTTTTAAGGCGAACTTTGTATGTTGCAAAAACTAATTTGATATGCATGATTGATATGCATTTATTAAACGATAGATTTTTAGGTTAGATCTAGTATTTCAATAATTATAATTATTTGTTGTTTGCTTTCTCTTTTTCACATTGCGAGAGAAAACTAAGAGTAGTAAGATCGAAGTGATGAACACGTGCGAATATTTTCAAAGATAATGTTCGGGAATCGACATTTTATTTAGTGGAAACAGAAGTAAATTTGGTTTATAAGCTTTGTTTATATCGATACGATCTAAATATACGTATTTCAAAACAGAATGTTTCTTTAAATTACTATTTTGAAATATATGTAGCAATACAAGTTATTCGTTGTTTTCATTTTCGTTTGCTTGTGTTGGTGCGTCACACATGACTTACTGTTCCGAGGATCGTAAATCGATGTGAAAAAAAGTTTACGAATAGACTGGTTAAAAGGGAGAACTTTCGATATATGACGCCATTATGGAAATTCTCGAATCTTTTAGAAGATTTTACGCCTTCGCAGATAAACTCGAGAAATGCTCGAACGCGTTATTTAACTTCATCGAACGATAAAGTAAAGTACATATTTAACGATAAAACTTTGCTAATCTCTAAGATATTATTTTGCACGAATTTTAAAAATATATTATTACTTGGATATTCGTACGACGATAGATACTTGCGTATCTTAATCGTAGGCATAAAATTACTTAAGAAAATAATAAAATTATATTATATCGATTTAAGACACGTGGATTAGTGGTATATTAAAGAATATTAATTAAATCCTATATATTTTAATCCATTCTTCCTTGTCTGTTTTTTTCAACTTTATATCCAACCCCATATTTCCACTGTCCAACGATTTAACAAACACGATAAAACCTCTCTTTTCCTGTTTCATATCTCAACTCTCACGAAAATTCTCAATCTTTAAGACGCTCTTATCCATTACACGAGGAGTACACGTGCCTATTTACCGTGTGTACGTTAATTTAAGGAAACAACTCGCGTCTAGTTGTCCCAACGGCGACGCGGAGAAAAGATGACGCTGGCAACACCGGCAGCTTCTCTCAGCTTTACGCGATTACGCGATATTTCATTGTCTCTTTGAGGATTGTTGCGCAATTATCCACGGCCCGTACACCCTTTTGGCGAGAGTTGTTGCGTAACGCCTTGCACGGTTTACCGGTATACCCATTTATAAACCCTTGGTCCCGGTCGCATTGACGATCGGTAACTTCTCGTTACCGCGACTGCTTCCACGAGAGCGGCCATTTCTTAACGGGTTTCCGTACACAGGAGTGCTGGCTGCACAACGTGTCGCGTACACAAGTATCTCCTCGGCCACTGTTCCGGCGGAGAGGTGATTTAGCAGCAGCGTCGCATCGTGTACCATACTTGCCGTGGATCGCGTCGATTTCACGTGTCACGGGTTGTATTATCGGTTCTCGGAAGGAAGGCATGCCTCGTTACACTACAACGAGCAAAAGGGTGACGTTTTAATCGAAGTTGTCAGTTCGACAACGAGGCAGCAACGGTTTCGGGAAAGGGGAAAGCGCTCTCTGGTAGCTCGCAGGTAGGATTACGCGTGACGCATGCGCGGGAGAAGTGTTGCGTTCGCTGGACGAATATATCTTGCTAACTCTTTCGACGAAAAAATTAATCTTGGGCGATCATATCATCGTCGATTGTTATCGTTGCAAATCTATTTCGATATCGAATATTTTATATGTAATTTTTGATATTTAATTATTATATGAGAAATATATTAATTGTAATTGGTACATTAGCTAAATATAATTTGATAAATTATGTTCGAAACTCGGTCGGTGGCTATCGAATTGAACGATCATATGATCGAACATGACCGATTCGTTGCGTGTTTCGTTACGTATAATAGGGCGGTGCAGAAAGATCTCGCTTTTCCTTTTTTTAAAATCGAATACGCTGAACGTCTACCACCCGCGGTTCCCGATAATAACACAAGTATAGGAAGATCGTTTAGAAATGGAAGATGAATCGGAATACGAAACAATTCGATCAGGAAGCTCTCTCGCGTGGTCACATTGGGAGAAAGGGCATTCGTCTGCGTTCGTAATCGTTGTCTTCTCACAACAGGCAACGGTCGGCAGGATCGTTTAATATTCTTTAACCATTTTTCCTCGCTCGGTAGACAACCGAGCGAGGGAGCGAAGGAGAGGGAACTCTACGCTCGAACTTTCCCTGTTGATAGGTTCGGCGTAGAGGGAGACACGCGCTTCGAACGAGTTCGAAAGATTAGCTTCGACTCGCTCCCACGCCTCATCTCTTTATCGCATCATCGCGGCTAGATTGAATCTCCGCCGCTTCTAGACTTCTCTCGAACGATAAAAGCAAGTCGGTCCGCGCTGTCGATCCGCGCTCGCCAGCGAAAACATGCATACTCTGTTAGAGGCAGACTTATTAAGGAAGAGATATTCGCCTCTCGTTTCCGCGTTTTACATTGAATACCTCGCGTATTCTCCGTGGGCCAAGGAGAATTGATGTCCTCGCGGACGAGCCGCTTATCGATTTACCCGTGGAAGACCCGTAAATCAGGGGAAATATGAACAAAACCGAGAGATAAGCACCTGATGTATTCGCGGCGTGACGGTGAGCGATGATGACGTTAAATACGATATTCGAAACCTCGGTTTTTCAGCTTCGCGTGGCGGCGATGCAACGTGTAAGGATGATCTATGTGTCCCGCATTTTCTGAACGATTATTATTGATTTAGTAGTCTTGACCGTTTTCCGAGTTACTCGTACTTTCCAAGTTGCCGATTTACAGTTATCATTTGAAATTCAATCGTTCTTACGAGACGATTTTAACTCTCCGTAACAAAATTTTGATGGATTTTGATTCGTGAAGATCTAATTTTCTATTCTGTGGCGAATGCTATAGCTGGAAAAGAGTTTTCGTTAGCATATATCCGGCTTTTCTTTTATATATCCATCAGAAATCCTTTCAATTTTTGGAACGATTCCAATTCCTCAAATAAATTCATATAAAATATTCCTTAAAAACCTACAAAGTTATCTCAATTCCATCGAATTAGAAATTCGTGAAATAAGATTTCATCAGAACCAATTTCGACAATTAATTTTTACCAAATTCTAGGCGGAAAGCAACGGTATATTTCCAAAGCGTATCGATAATCTCACCGCGATCCCTTCTCGCCGAGGGATGAGGTTTCATCCCAGGAAGCGTAATCCGTTGCTCGCGTGCGAGGATGGAAACGGGTCCGTAAGTCACCGCCTCGTGACTCACGTTCACGTTCCGCGGATCGTTCGAAGCGTGTGTCTCGTTGCGTTTCAGCGAAAAGGAGGAAAGCAGGAAGTCTGAAAGCGCGCATTATGAAATCGGAGATATTACGCGAGGAAGTTGTATTCACCTGGATCTTATGGGCACGGTCCGGCAGAGTGCAGTGGTGGTGAAGCGTGGCGTAAAATATCATCGTTATGCACCGCTCCGGGTTAATATCAGCCTTGGCGAGGCGCCGTGCCGCGATATTTACTATAAGCCCCATTGTTTTATGCGGCGCTGAACGCTGCCCGACAGCCGCTGATACAGTTGTACGAGCGGCGCACCTCCGCGCTACCGCGGAACTCCGCCGGTTGCGAAATCGAATTGAATGACCGCTCGCCGCCACGCTGTGTGCGCTCGCCTTCCATCCGCCT